ACTGTGGGCAGGATGTATGCCGTATATTCAATCCCGGCCAGTATTTCACACTTTGAATGTCATTGTCCGAGAATGCAAAGCATTAAAAATAAGCCGAGACGTCGTCAAAATAGTGTGAATATTTCAAGACAAACTGACAAAAACTGTGGGAGCTAATTAATTTTCAATCACCCTGTCGAACCAGAAAACACGAATGGAGATAATGCCCGTTTCATGAAAGTGTCGTTAATCGTCCACAAAAATGGCTATTGCATCACGACGACATGCATATCCATCATACACCGACGCTTGCTGATGGTCAATCGTCAGATGAAAAAATAAAATAAAAATATTTACAATACGAGGGAAACGGACGTAAAATCGTCCGCGGAGTCAAAACTTTGCGTGAAAACTGTCATGGCGTCATGTTATCATTTCCACTGAGGGAAGGGCACAATGGATTACGTAAAGCCGATGAGATTTTCATACAGTTATATAAACACAGTGATCACCATTGAGTGGGTTGAGTCTAAATTTACTTTTCCTCAAAGCTTTAAAAAATACTTTTTATGACGCAGTTTTTCGCGATCTCCGGTGAAATCAATCGTGCGAAGTTAGGCGGTCAGTTTGAGATGGGCCATAATATTTTGCTACACAGCGGCTATTCACAGTTTTTACTACTCAATCGCTCGAAAGCCGGTGAGAAAAAATCGAAATGGAAGGGAAACTATTCATTCAACTACAGACGAGACGAGTCAATAAAAATTAAACGAACCCTGACCCCTGAAAATACCTCATTCATAGAGTTCCTTAGTACCAGAGGTCGCTGATCACGGCCATACAACGTACTTTGCAACATCGCTACTGGTGTATGCTAGCTGACAAGGGGGTTTCCGATTAAAGTAACCAAGATGGCATCGCAGAGTGCGTGATTTTTCCGCGGTGTATAAAAAACAGCATCTCGTTGCCGATTTATCAGTAATTTCCAGGGTATTTTTTATTTTCAATTAACCGAGCATTTTACGTTAGTGTATTTTGTCACTGAAAAGCTAGCTATTGATGATAGCACAGCTATGGAGTTTATAAATTGCACGGCAATGCTATCAGCATGGTGATCGTTAGAGCGAAACGAAAAATGTATCCTTCAGCTTTAATGCCTTTGGACATATACCCTCAACAGGGTCTATGGAGAAAAAAAATTGTGAAAACAAAATTATTTAACAGTATACCACTGGAAGCTGCCAGGTTAGAAGTTGTCAACATGTTGCGAGATAAGGGTGAACAATTTTATTTATCATTTACAACTGTACGTTTTATTATTCCACTTGCATGCTGGAAGCGTCACGTTTTGTCTGTTTTTGTCTGTTTGTAGTTTGCGAGGCTAGTTGATCGCGCTTGAGGTAGGTAAATAGGGTTGAGGGCAGGAAGTTACACATCGCCGCACCGTAACTGAGGCCAGCAACTCATTTGTATATAACATCAACAGTGACTTGTCAATCAAAGAGCAACGTAAACGAACTTACGGGACTTTTAATCACATACGGGTGCCTCGGTTCCCTATATTTGACAATTCTCCGAAATTTTAACACTATCTAGCCAAGACTGTCTGGGTTAAGAAAAAGGGGAAAAAATACTCCGAGTGCCCACAAACCTGCATCTATACCTTAAACTTTGGTTGCATTATAGTTGATATATTGTAGCATTTTTATATCATGAAATTGTTGAAATGAACTACAATAAATGTATATACCTGATTGGTCCATTTCTTTCAGAAAATTGTTTATGAAACATCAAAAATTGTGTCTGTGATTTGTCATCGACTATGACTGGAGCTTGTGATATTGGTGGTTCTAAATAAATGAGCAAATACAATAATATGAAGAGTTGTACGCATAGCAAGTAGCATCGAAATGATACTTTTTAGGAAACATGAAAACGTATATGTATGGAAACATACATTACCGCTTCTTTCACTGTTTTGACAGTAGGCTGGTGGCTGACTGGGTTCACTTTCTCCAGCATATGTAGCAGCTTGTACACTTATGACATACTTTGAGTATGTTTGAAGTTCTTGGTATTCATAGCATGTGTTGTCATACACCAACCATGAACCTTTTGAATCTTCCATAGCTACATGTCCATCAACTCCTTCATATGGGCTTAATGCATGTACTGAATAATTAACCTACGAATTTATAATATTGTAGTAATAGTAATAGTCTGGTATCTGGACAAGAAGATCACCGATCACCAGAAGTGAATTAACACTGCTATATAATATAATGTTCACTGTGGAATTCTTTTCAACTTACTCTATAATAAATCAATACGCCATTTGGTGATGATGGCTCGGTCCAACAAATTGTACAGATTTTATTGTTTATATCTTCTTGAGTAGTAACTAGTAGAGGAGGTGATGGAACTACGATGATATGAACACACAAACAAATAAATAAATAATCGAAAAAAACAATTAAACAAACAAACTGAATACAGAACATGAGTGAATAATGTAGTGTTTCGATTATCAAATGATTTATTTGATGCATAACTGAATGACTGAATTCCCTCCTGCTGATATGAGCGTATATTTGTACCAACATATAGTTTTTTTTGATATTTTCTTTTCAAACTATATCCAACACTTCATGTGTTGAAATTCATTAGTGTTCCAATTTGCACTCAGCTGTGATGAAAATCTACGATCATCTACGAGCTTTGGACGGGGTGTTGTGGGGATAGCCAATCAATGCTATGATATGGAATCCATTCTGTACTTCTAAAGGTCTTGACTATAGAAGTGTGATGGATAAATTTGATGTCTTTAAACCCTTCACTCAGGTACCCGGGAATCGGATATTCTCCACGTTGGACTAACAAAACACACGGAAGTTCAATTCGTGTCACCCTCGATTCTCTGACTGCCTCTTGACTTGCTCGCCAAGACAGATTCAAATCACTTTATTAACTTGTCAACCATTAGCCAATTACAAGAGAATATAAGAGACCTTGAGGCGTTGCCTCCAATCATATAACTAATCACACGAAGTTTTTAACATGTCATAACACAATTGATTAATCGTTACTATGTTAGGAAAACTACAACTGTACTGTCAACGTCAGCTTACATTTGTGAGCGCCCACGGTACTGTAATAACATTCCACAGCTGACATCTATATCCATCATTCATTCCAGATCATGGCCAAATACCCCCCACCATGACGCATACATTTGGAAATAACAAGTTCATAAGAAAGTATTGACATATCTCAGCCATCCCTGCCATCTGGCATTAATCAGCCAGCCATTATCGGTGAATGTCATAGCAACTACCAACAACCAGAAATATAAATCATGACAGAAGGTGACCATGTGAGCGAAGAATGGAGGGAATCAAATATCTAGTTCACCCCAGTCATCCTATTTCCCTAAACAATTACAAAGCAAACATGTTCATGTGCAAGGTAACATGTACAAAGCAAAGGTTATTCTATAAACCTATGTTTCATACTACGCACGAATGGTGGCTAACAATAATGTTTTATATTAGTATAATGTAAGACAAATGAATCAAATAGTATCAATTTTGTTACTAATAAAAATTTGGACTCACTTCCCTCACTGGTCTTAGCACTCTTTTCATCTGTAAGACTGCATCTTCTTCCATTGCAAACCTTTATCTATATAGTGTGAACAGAGATAAATGGTGCATCAGATATATTATCCATAGGGAATATTATTTACAGAATGCTTCTGGTGTATATATATCAGAAATTTGTGGTTTTAATCAAAAAGAGCAAGTTTATATACTGGTTTTTGTTTCTAAATAAATCATGCTTTGATAAAAGATAATTTTTAATAGTAATTTGTTTTACCACAAAACAATTTACTTGTAAGGAATTATTTTTTTTCTATACCTGAAAGGAGACCAGTTGTTGAATAATTAAATAAAGAGAAAAGTACTTACTTCAACAATGTATTCAGTATTTGTTAACAAATCAGTAAACAGGTAAGTATAAGTCTGGTCCGATTGTTTGGCAGGTTCAGTGTGAGTTTTTACAGTTGATGCACCATAGTTTAGAAATAGATAAAGTTCATATCTTGTTGTTACACCACGTGGATTAATCGGTGGGTCCCATTCAATAGTCAATGCACTATCTGATGTATTATGAAAACTGGATATCCTTGTTTTGTATGGAACTAAAATATAAGAAAAAATAATTTTGTTTATTATTATTTTTCCTTCTATTAATTTGGTAATATATGATTCTCCACTGTTTATTTATACATGTAACTCAGTCGTGAATAACCGGATGATCTGAAAATCACCAAAATCATATTCATACATATTTCCTAAAATTCATAACATCATATACATCCCATGAACTAAAAACAGCCTTGATCTTATGCCTGCAGTGCAAGTATATACACCTAGATGATTTGCTCTCAGTGATGATGAAATGTGTTTCACAAAACTATTATGACCAGTACTACTCAAAAAAGACTATTTGATAAAGCGTTAAATGGAGCTGTTTGGGGGCACCAAGCATTATGGTGGTAAAAGTAAAACATTTTGTTAAATGGTAATTAATATACATTATATTATACCAGTGTATCACTGCCATGAATGCATCATTGTGATTGGTTGGGAGGAGGTTGTTTAAATTTATGCAAACCATGGTTAAACAGAGCATAATGCACAGTTATGGTGTTCCAAATAAGGCCCCAAAATATGAATACAAGTTTAATGCGTAAACAAATAAAAGGAAGGGCATTTAAATATTAGGGAAATTGTGGGGTTATATTGATAGCATGAAGATATTATATACATATTTTATTTTAGCAGTGGTCAAATAAAAAAAATTGTACAACCTACAATTTTTGCATGTGACATGATTTCGTTGTCTGCAACATAAACATGGCCGAGTATTATGTACGGGAGCTACCAGAGCAAGATTTTCTTGCAGAAACCGAAGAATTCGTTCAGACGGAGAGAAAAAACGCTTTGCCAATTTTAATGAAATTGACCTTGACAACATTGAGTTGCTAACAGACGAGAAAGCAACCACAAAACAAACAGCGTGGGGAGTAAACATTTTGAAAGGTGAGTGACAACTTCAACACCAATCATACTATTGTTCGTGCTTTTTTTTACAAACAAAACATTGCGGGTTTGACCTCTTGACACGGACATCATTTCCAATAAATCGTTCATTTCATTTTCCCCCAGCATGGCTGATCGAGAAAAACGAAGATTCAAATTTTGAATTTCTCCCACCTGACGAAATAGCGGCTATATTACGCCGTTTCTACGCCAAAGCTAGAAGCAGAGATGGGGAGCGGTACTCCAAATCAAGCCTATCGGGAATGCGTGCTATCAATCGGTACCTCAACCCGCCACCATACCACCGAAATATCAATCTAATCCATGACAGAGAGTTCAAAGCTGCCAACAACATCTTCACTGCATTAATAAAACAGCTCAAGGAAGAACGGACTGGACAAAATTTGTCATAAAACGCCAATTACCACCTAGCGACCCGCTGAGTCTGTTAGGTAAAATTTGGTTCGATTTGACCTTTCATTTTGGCCGCAGAGGTCGGGAGGGATTTCGAAGTTTGACAAAATATAGCCATCGCATTCAAGAAAGCTACAACGAAACCCGGTATGTAGAATGTACATATTCTGAGAAAACCAAAAATCAGCCTGATGACGATTTCGAAACACAGGCTAAAATGTATGCTACCGGCGGCGAAAATTGTCCCGTTGCAGAATTTCAAATGTATTTGTCCAAATTGCACCCAGGGCAAAATGCGTTGTTTCAGAGGCCCTGTGTAAATGTAACACCCACTGACAGAGTCTGGTATTGTAATTCACCCCTTGGTTGGGATCTCTGATGAAAGAGATTTCGGTAGCAGCAAATTTGTTGATAGTTTATACAAATCATTGTGTTAGGACAACTGCGTGCACTGTGTTAGATTCGACAGGAGTTGAAACCAGACACATTATGTACACATTATATTCACAGCACAAAAAAAACAAAGCTAGTATTCGGTCCTACACCAACAAACTCAACAATAATCAATAGTCAAGGAATGTCCTGTATTCTGTCTCGAAGTTTGAGGTATAAAAACAAATCCTCTGATAGAAAAGTGACCGTAGCGACCAAAGCGGGTGTTTCCGACAACGTCATCCGTACCCCAGAGAACACCGGCATAGCAGCGTCTGGACCAACTCCCGCAGAATCTAAGACTCACAACCAAAGTACACATGCAGCATCTGCTTTGTTTAATAACTGCACCTTTAGTGGACCAATTAATGTCAACATAACAAACACAAAATAGAAAATTCGACAACGTAACAAGTACACAGCACATGTTTTCAAAAATGGCGCACAGTACGCGCTGCCAGTAATTTCTGCTGATGATAATTTGCGTCCAGCTTGTTCAGTTTATTAAATTTCTAGTTATTTGCTAGTTTCTTGCGTTATAAAAATAAACTTCCTTTGATTGTGATGATATCTGAACTTGCTCTTTTGTGCGTTTCTGTGTACTGAGCGCGAGTATGTTGGATAGGTGATTAAATACTGGTTCAAGGGCCCATTTCATCTAATCACCGTGTCGACCAGCAGATGCCCATTATACGTCGTTCAAAAACGACTCTTTTTTATTTTGTAAAAAGGTCGAGAGTGCCGAAAATACTGCAGAAATGAAGTTGATATAATATAATAGCAATAAACCACCGCCGGAGTCTGGTATACCACTCGATATTGAGTTATTTATAGGTCAAAATTTTGACCATTCTCACGTCTTTCTCACGTACGTGAGTTATGCCGGAAATTAGCCATTGTCACGTAATTACATTTTCGTGCCAGAGTTTGACAGTTTCCGGTCAGTTCTCACGTGCGTGAAAATGGCTGTTTTTTAGTGC